ACAAAACCGGAAATTGAGGGGTTATGACGTCATTGGCAGGCGACACAATGACACTATGGACACGGTCCGTGTCACTAGTTAAAATTGCTTATTTCTCTGGATTTAAACATTCTTCGAAACATTTGGGATAATGTAAGTACACAAGTCAGCAAAATATATAAAACTGTTCTAGTGGTTTTTGGATATTTTAATAAAAAAATCTTACATATTGTGCCTTTAACTAGAAGAATAGAATATTTCATATACATTTTTTTTTCATATTATTTAATTATAATTATTTAGCTTCAGTTCAATTTTGCTTCAAAAGACATAGCAGTGATTTTTTTTAAACACAGAGTTCCCATGGAACTGTGAAGTGTGATTTCCAGGCTTAAATTGTATTGGAACTTTTGATAGTCAATCTATTTTTTCTATTTATACTCAGTTTTAAGTATTTTTGCCTGGATAGTTACTTGTTGCTAGTGGGATATTCTATAAAATGCTTTTTTGTTTTTTTAAATCCTAATCCATTCATCTCATACAACTGGAAAATCATGGAAAAGTAATTAAAATTGGTCAGAAACTACGGGAACCCTTGAAGGGCCATTTATTCTTAAAAGGCAATTTGCAAGTAATAAATAAGTGGGATTTTTGGTTTTGGCTCTGCCATTAATGATGTTCTCCTGTGATCCCATGTTATTTTCATTCAATTTCAAACCATACTAATAGTATATATGCCAGAAGCTTATAAGTGAAGACTGAAAGAAAATGTAAGAAGAATATTTTGAGACTGCAGATAGACAAGATATGATGAGGTGAAGTGTAGCAGTTATTATGTTTGTTGTTTACACAAGCATGTATTTGTTTATACAGGATTGCATGTACGCCACATCTTAAAATAGCTCTGCCTGGGTTGAGGAAGCTAGGGGACTGGGTCATTTATTACAGTATTTGAGGCTTTTTGTGTCACAGAGTTCACTGGAGGAATCAGAGAGAATCAGGGGCTCTCCTTAGTCACAGATGCTGTTTAAAGGTTTACCAGAACATCTAAATCCATTTGGCCCATGTCTGTACATTGAATGTGATTGGCCATTATTTTCCTATGATCCTAAAGTGTTGAGAATCAGAGTCAGAGACGAAGCTTTAGATGTCAGAATATTAACATGTACTTGTTGCAGATTGCTTTGTTAGTGTTATTTTTTTGGATCAGCAACTTTGGTAATTAACAAATTACCAAATGTGGGATTAATTAACCCAAAATGTCACATTACTAAAAATATGCAAAGACACAAGACACGTTTACAAATAGTTTTAGATCATATATATATATATATATATATATGTAATCATTTCCTATGCTATTTATACAAAGCCCTCTCTTTGCATAAATAGGTTTTGTTTTGTGTTGTTAGATGCTAGGATGTTCCTCCCTTGTTTTGTGTTGACCTTTTAACCCTTTCTGCTTACTGTATCAGTGGTAAGCCGTCTGCTCTAATATCCGGAATTATGGGATTCAAGGGGCCATGACAAATGAGGTCACAGCAGTAGAGAAAACAAAATAAAATTGACCTTTTGATCCACACCACACCACACCACACAGATGCTGGCAGGCGTAGACACACATTTAGGATGTGACCTCAGAAAGCAGTAATCCAAGAAAAAAATGATTACTGATATAATACTGCATTGTTTTGTCATTGTGGTTGGTGCAGCCCACTTGCTTGATACCACACTTACAGGATGTGTCCTCTGGTTGTGCATCACACCTGAATGAGTTGCACCAGAATGGGCATTGTTCATTGTGAGCGTGTTTATGTGTGTGTTTGTGTGTGTGTGTGTGTGTGTGTGTGTGTGTGTGCACTAATGCATGTTTCTGCAGTGATAAGCCCTGAGAAGCTGTGGATAGAGAGACAGATCTAGGTCAGTGTCAGTCCACTGGTCTGAAAGGAGTTTTAAAAATGATATAAGATGCCCATATTTCCTAAGGCCCGTATTTTGTTCGTTATGGCTCATAGTGTCATATTCTCATTTGCAGATGGCGCTAGTTGTCTGTGAATTAAATATTCAAAGTACTTAACTTTGCAAATTATATACACAAAGATGATTTGATGAATAATATTTATATTTATGTTCCCATATTACTTATTTTGATTATTATAAGGGCATTTTCGGTCCAAGCAAAGGTGTTTGACCCTAAATATGAGCCTTCAAGACGCCAG